CTTCAATTCTTTGTTTTCACCCACGTGACTTTCGTCTTGACGACGGTTGCTATCCGCCATGTTGGTGCCCAAACAAATAGTTACAAATGCGCTTATAGTAAGGTGAACGTGAGATAGTAGAAATGGTTCTTTGTGTAGTTTTCGGCTGTGGCAGTAGAAGCGATCGGGAGAAAGGGATTGGATTTTATCGAATACCATCAGTTATCAAAAATAAGTCTACCTTCGAAGAAGAATTGACAACAGAGAGGAGAGAAAAGTGGATACAAGCGATAAGTCGGGGCGACACAAAAGCAAAAGACGTTCTCAAAAGCGAACGAGTATGCGGCAAGCATTTTGTCTCTGGAAAGCCATCTCCTTACTGGGACAAGCACAATGTAGATTGGGTGCCAACTTTAGAGCTCGGAAAGAAAAGTTATGGCCGTGAGATAGACTATGAAGCGAGAGCAAAGAGGCAAGAAAGAGCGAAGAAAAGAGAGAAACACGCCATCGAGCAACAAGAACACGAAGCGGCAGAGAAGCGTCAGAAACTCATCGAAAGCAGTCTTCCTGTGGCCCAGATCGACTTTAATCAGCCAAGCACCTCCACAGAAGAAGAAAAAACTGGAAACGAAGATGCCTTTTCCGGTGACCTTACGTCATGTGATGAAGGCAGTGAGTCTGATGAAATCAGAACGCAAATTATGAGAGATGCCGAGTGCCAAGCAGACACAGAGCTAAAGGATTCGGAATGCCAAACCACCGAATTAGAATACATGTTTCAAAAAAGCACGTATCGGGCACCGGATAAAGAGTTCTTTGACTCTGACGAGAAGGTTCGCTTCTATACCGGTCTACCTTCCTTGGAAGTGCTAATGGTTGTGTTTGACGATGTAGCTTCACATGTAAAAAGGCTAACTCAGTCACTCGATAGGTTCCAAGAGTTTATTATTGTACTCATGAAACTTAGGCTTAATGTACCGTTACAGGACCTTGCCTACCGTTTTGTTGTATCGATTTCAACTATTTCAAGAATATTTTTCCATTGGATTGTGGTAATGGACAAGAGACTGTTTCCCTTTGTTTACTGGCCAGACAGGCATCAACTTTGGAAGACAATGCCCCAGTGTTTCCAGTATGCCTTTGGCAGGAAAACAACTGTTGTTATCGACTGTTTTGAGGTGTTTATTGAAAGACCATCAAACTTGCTTGCCAGAGCACAGACATTTTCCAGTTATAAACACCACAACACTATCAAGATTCTTGTTGGTATAACCCCCCAAGGAACGATTTCTTTTGTTTCAGAAGCCTGGGGAGGTCGTGTCTCTGATAAATTTGTAACCGAGAACTGTGGTTTTCTGGACAAGCTTCTTCCGGGAGATATGGTGATGGCTGACCGAGGATTTACCGTTAGTGAAAGCATTGGTCTCAAGCAAGCAAGATTGGTAATCCCAGCTTTTACAAAGGGAAAATCTCAGCTGGACCCAGTGGATGTGGAGCAGACTAGAGGAATTGCAAATGTAAGGATCCATGTTGAACGTGTGATTGGATTGCTCAGACGAAAATTTACGATTCTAGAAGGTACCCTGCCAACTGACTATCTTATATCTAATCATGAAAACTCTGATCGCTACACTCCACTGGTGGATCACATGATAAGAGTTTGTGCAGCTCTTGTTAACTTCTGTCCTCCTATTGTACCTTTCGATTAGGCAAACCTCCCATTTCAAATAGTTATGTTGTGTACGATTGAAGATAAATTTAGAAACAAAGACACATGGAACTCTCCAGAAATGTGGATATTCCAATAAATATTTTTAATGTACTTTACCATTTGTTTAATTTGTAAACCTTGGATGTTACAGTGCAATTCAAAAAATGGTGAACAACTGAAATATGCCTGAATTGTTACTGTGAACATTGTTTATTACTTTTTCATCAAACTGTGTTCTATCCAGAATACCCCAATCAGGTTTGTGCCACTTGACTAATACCCACGACTTATTTTGGTGTTCACATTTTTTTCTTAGTTGTACTGTAAATAGTGAAATAATATTGTATCTGATGATCGAGGAATTCTCCATGAGGGTGTCAACAATATACTTCAAACCCTTGATCATTCTTTTAAAAAAAATTTAAAGCCTTGGAAAGAGAAACCAAACCCTTGTTTATGTCCCCTTTTAATTAGATATTGCTTGTTGATTCCTTCCTTTGAAACTGGAGGGTTGTTTGACATTGTCTTTATGTGGGTGTGCCATTGTCGAAATGAGAGGAAAAGAAATGAAACATTGATTTGACTTAATGTTGGCATGCAGATTGGATGAAGAATGCATCCAGCCCTGTAATCTTTAATTTATAATTATGTTAAAACAAGAGATATTTTAGCATTCAATTACCATTGGCTGTTGTGTGTCTTAGTAGGGAAAGCAAAGAATACCATGAAAATTACAACTGAGGTACAAACAACTTTGACTGGCAAGTGTGATTAAAAAAATTGCCCTGCAAAACTTAGTTTTCTTTTATGAACAAAGTAAATGATCTTCTGATGCATGTAATGTACATAGATTGAGAACTGAAAATGATTAAAAACAAAATTACATGGATTTTATCCTTCACTTCAGACTGTATGCATAATCAGTGTACTTAGAATGTAGGGAACAAAGTAAATTTGCCATTACTTAGACATGATGCTAAGTGAGTTCTCATACTTTGAGTATCAAAATTTATGAATGTGGGATCTTCTCCAAAGACCAGGCAGGTGGAAAATGCAATTGCAAAAACCCCACAGTCACTTCCATTTGTTTGCTGCTGCACTGGCATAGGGTTAAGAGCAACCAAACAGCCCCCTAACAAGTCATTCGTTTGTTCTTCAACCTCTTGGGTTAAAACAGAGTCATGATACAGGCTGTCATAAAGATTGACATGTCCCAGCTCACATCCAATTGAGCTTACACACACCCAGTGACTGTGACCAGTGTGCAAAATTTGTATGAATTCACCACTGACAACATCAAAATTTCTAACTGGGCCAAGTGTTGGTCGCTGAAAGCCTTCTATGCTTGAATTCTCACCACGCAGCAAAACTTGAGCTTGGTGAATAATGTCACAGTCTAGCCATCCAGTGGGACTAAGAATTAAATCAAAATGGGAGTCAGTTAGGTTTCCCAGAGGACTAGACTTGTCACTGCTTCCATGAGTGACTTTAATGATAGAAATATCACTTTCCTCTTCACCACTTGAGGAATCTGATGAAGAACAATACTTGGTAAGGGTGGTGGCTGAATGGACAGTGGCAACTTTATTGCATTCAGAACATTTCCAGGTTGTTTGATAATTGTTGGGCATTCTGTTTAAACCGAGGCAGGAAAGGTGGAAAAATTTTCCATTTTCACAGTTGTCTCCATGGCATTCTACAACCTTCTCTGTTGTACTAGGCTTAGTCTTGCAGATGCAGATGCTGTCCAATTTCATAGCTGCCTGAATAGATGCTGTAGGGGGTTGTGCTGATGTCCTGGTACCACCTCTTCTCTTGAACTGGGGAAGTCGAGAGCAGTGAGGGCAATACCAAGTCTTTGGCTTTCTCAAGGCAGTGAGCGAAAGACAGGAAGGGTGAAACCTTTTGTAAGGGCAATTTTTGTTACTGCATGAAATGGTTTCCTCATGTCTGATTTTCCTGCAAAAACAAATACCATCCTTATCTGGTAATTTGGGAGGCACTGTACATCTTCTGGTATACCATCGCCCTAGAATTTCTGGAAGAATACATATTCTCCAAAATGTTTCCAATTTGGGCAGTACAGAGTTCCAATGCTGCACATCTGGATATATGCGCAGCACTATTAAATTCATGCTCTTTTTCTCATCAATGGCACAAACCACAAACTCACAATACTTGATTCCAGGCACAGAGAAAAGCTGCTGCTGCACCTGATAGTAGTAGCTGTGATTTTTTCTAAGCTGTAAATGTCCATTCACTTTTTCTAAGCAGGAATTCTTCTGCTGAGCAAAGTTCTCAAAGTTGCCATGTTTGATTATAATCGGGCACTTCACTTCACCGCATCCAGTGCCACAACAGTCACATGAAACTAAGAAATCAGGAGTGGCATGGAGAAATTCATGTTCTTTGTTAATAAACAAGCCACACTTCTTAACAGTTAAGTTCACATGACCAGTTTTTACAGCAGCTTCGTATGCATTTACAGCATCACTTTCATGCCTCTTACCATGCCTGGTAGCTTTAGTGTTAACTATGTAGAGGCTTGGGTAACAAATTGTGTTAATCAGAGACTGAGAGGGCTGTGCAATGTTTGTGTGAAATGCTGCGTGACTTTCAGACGCACCAATTCTGCCAGCACGATGTCTAAAAAATCCCGACCCACTGGCTTGATCTCTTGTGTTGAGTTCCACTTTGTTTACGTGCTCATCAGAAATATCCAATGTCACTTCAACACATTTTCTTAGTAGTTCTGGATAAGCAAGATCAACATTTCCCGTTTCAAATAGATCGGGAATAATCGGCAGGGAGCGGCTCTCATCGATAAACTGGTCAGCATAGGGATCGATGAAGCTGAGAACAGCAGCTTTAATTTTGCAAGCATTTAGCTTCGCATACACAGCCTGCATTTCTTCTCCTGATAGAGACGCGATGGGCGAACTTAGATCGTCCTTCTCCGCTGAGTTTTTCTGTTGTTCCCCGAAATTTGGGTGCAGGGAGTCGATTATTTGGTCCAGCGTCTTTTTAAGCTTTTTCGCGGACGAAAAGTCGNATATATTTATTTCAATCATTTAAGTTTATGAGACATGGAATGAAATGCAGAGAAGCAAACACAGTCTCTTATTTGTGTGGATAGCGAAAATCCTCCGCAAAATAAAGTCCCTGATTCTGGTCCCATTTGTATTGTTATGTTGTTTGAAAACCCACAGCCAGGAAAGAATGAAGTAGTTCAAGCAGTAGACAGCTTCAGAATAGCAGTAGAAGGAAGCTTGAAATCTAAATGTTGCCTTCCAGTGACAATCGATTTTCCTTCCCACATTTTGAAACACTTGTTTGAGGTTAAAGGAGAGTTCACTTGGGGATGGGATTACCTTGAAGTGGGGCAGGTGTCTTGACTCTTTTGGGGAAGGGCATAACATTTTTTTCTCGGTAAGAATGCGTTTCTTGTCCTGGTCATCAAAAAGGTATTTGAAGCTGCAAAGTGGGGAGGTGCAGCCGTGCAGTCAGGCTTACCAGGAATGTCTCTCCTTTTCCTTCGCAAGAGCCCCATGTTACTAGAACTTTTCCTGTTTTAACTTATTACTGAAAGAGGTCAGAGAGAGTAGATGGGGTTTTACAATTCAGTGGACTGAAAACTGCTGAATCTGGAATATCTTATTTCAGAATTCAAACTTAAGAGTGTGTCTCTGTAATTTCCGACCACTCGAAATTGGTTAAAAAACAAATCTGGCCTTAAGTGGATAAGGAAACCATTACCTATCATCGGAACAAAAGTTGTTTCCCTCAGATTTCAAAAGTTTTTTATTTTTTAACAATTTTCCGCACGTAGGTCGAATCGTGAAATTGACATCATTTGTGTACACAAAATGAGCAATCTTTATTACGATCTCACGCTGTCAAAAATGATCCAATATGATAGATATTCTGGAATACAACAGTTTAATACATCAACTTTCCAAGTATGATCACAAAGGTAGAGTATCTGGATAATTGTATACACTGTCGTTGCATCAAATATGCCACTACTCAACTAAGCCGAAAAGTGGTACTTTTTAAATTGCGATTTCTCTGTACTGGGACAAAACTAGATATCAGGATTGAGTTACACACACTCAACAACCGTGCTTGAGAACACTATATTCCGTAAAAATATCCATGGCTATTGTGCCCGGAAAAAATAAAGCGAAGTAGAAATGTGGGATTTTCACATACCTGTACGGCCCTGATTTCGGTAATATGCATTCGTAATTATCCACAATGAATCATAAAACAACCGCAAATGAACAGCTCAGTGCACTTAATAATACTGTAGAATGTCTGTAAGTAAGGTTTTATTGTCCGAAGGTCGAAGGATTTCTATCCGGGTGCAAGTCTGTTGGGATTTATGTCATTCATTCAGAGTGACGATTCAGCGGCACCGAGTATTTGTATACTATCACCGTAATCCTGTCCATCTTCCATCTTTAAAGCCATTCTGAGAACAATATCCCCTAATACACAGCTCCATCCGAATTCAAGTTGTAGACTGTTCCAAAGCCCTGCATTGACAAGTGATAATTGTAGAGTACATTTATTCCATCCCTCACTTGCAAGAGTTACTGTCCAAAGATCTAGAAAATTCTGGCACACTACCAATCAAAGAAAACCACAATACAGTTGTTATCATGTTGACAAGCTTCTGATTTCTGCTCTAGATTCTTTAATTTCAGAATCCCAATATTTTTAATTTTTGTTCTTGTATGCTCTAGGCAATCTTTCTCTTTTTTGCAATGCTCATTGACGACCTTCTGTGCGTATAATGTCTGCTGGACTGTCCCAATTGTTGGATTTGCGTCTCAAAACTCTCATGCGTCGTCATTATTCTTTTGTACTCCTGCAATTAAAAGTACAGCAGGTAGTTCTATTTTTAACCTCTAAGCAGGCATTGAGATATATGTAGAACATGGCCTGTTACAAGTTTATTCAAAGCTTAAAGTAGGTGTGAACAGTAACCACTTAAAAAGATCTAAGAGAGTCATTTTGTTAAAATTCCATTCAACATAATATTTTTTGTTGACTCGATATTATGCCAGAGATTTTATATAAGACTTGTTATTTTATTACTCATAATATCTTTCAGCTGTGTAACAAGAATACTCTGCAGAGGGTATGTGAATTCCGACATGTACCTTGTCTTGTAAACTGTTTCGCATTGCTGTGTCTTTTCATGGCTTCTGGGACATGGAATACCATGGAATGCATGTAGCATGTCACATTCTTTTTACCATGACCAGTTCTCTTGTTGCCCAAGAAACAAAACAAATTTACCCACTCTTTTGCCTTTAAAAACAACAACAAGAAAAATACACTCTGGTAAGAACTAATATATGAAACACAAGAGACAGTGTTTCATTGGGAAATCCAAACACTGAGAAGAGAGTTGAAAATATGACGCGCACCGGATTACTTTTGACAAAATTTGAGGTGTGTGAGAGCCGGTGAGACACTGTCTTGAAAGTTTGATATATCTTCTCAATCAAAACAAAAGCTAAGGAGTAAATGGAGAAGTGAAATTAAAATTATCAAAATCTACGCTAATTGAGACCAAACCTCCTTCCGGGTTGTGATTTTCTTTTATTTTACCTTGGCGAATTATTAATCAGAGTTTGAGAAGTTAACTTCTGCAACACAGACTAAACTACAAATAGGAGAAGTTTAGAACAAGAAATTGGTTGCCAGCTCCTTTTTGCAGAACAAAGAAGTATCTACAGAGCCCATGACTGAAATGTGATCAAAATATAGTTCTCCAAAGTCCTGTTAAATAACAAATGGGGCATTATGAGATCAATATAGTGGCTGAATAGGCGATACCTGTATTCGGTATCCAGTCAAGTCGCCAAGGGTTCAACTCGCCAACGCCAACTTGCCGACGTATAAAATCGAGTAGAGACGTCGGCGAGTTGGTCCTCAATCCAATACGACTTAAAAGTAAACGATCATTAGTAATAAAAATATTCTTTTTCTTCCAACAAAGTTTAGAAGGATCTCAACGCGAATACAGCATGACAAACATCACCAAATACTATGACAACACTGTAAAGACCCATCTCAATGGTATCCAGACAACTCGCCCCCTGGACAATAAGCCCCAGACGATTAGCCCTCAGTCTTTGAACGATTAGCCCCCTACCCGCCATCCTTGAAATAAATTATGCTCTTGCTGTTTACTTTACGAACGTTTCCCTATCATGTATTTTGAAATAAGCAATGGTCTTGCTATTTGCTTCTGACGAACGTTTCTTTGCCGTGCATGTCGAATTATAAAGTATATTTTGCAAAAGTGAACTGTGTTCCTTCTGTTTACATATTTTACGAATGTTTCTTCGTCATGTTGTTTATTTCGAGAACTTTTAAAGTAGGAAAGGAAAGAAACCAGGAACGAAACTTCGAAACTTTAACTTATTGGCGACTACTTGTTGATGTCAATGGGGGTTTATTTTAAACTCGCCACGCGCATTGTGCGAACTTTTTACTAATTATTATTTATTTGTTTATTGAAAACCCATGCACAATGTGCGAACGTTTACTCATTCTTGTTTTCTTATTTCAAACCCATGCGCAAGGTGCGAAATTTTATTCATTGTTGTTTATTTCAAATCCACGCAAAATGCGAGAACTTTTACTAATTGCAGTATTTCATTGTTTATTTCAAACCCACGTGCAATGTGCGAACTTATGTAAATTGCGTGACGTGAGACATTTAAAAACAATGGAACATTGGTTTCTTAACAGATAGATTTGCTTCAAAACATGATATCAAGTGTCTTAAGCATCACAATCTTCATCAGTTGAAGAGTTTTAAGGTAAATATTTCGAGGTTTGGAAGCACTTAAGAACTTAATAAATATTTTAATTAAGCAACTTACCTTGCTATGTGTTCCTCATTGTTCCCAGGGTTAAATAGTGCCAAGACCAACACTTTCTTCGCTCTTGCAGCTTGATGGGAAATCTACATTTCCAAGCAAACATCCAAGAAAGAACAATGTATTGACATGTGCAATTGTGCAGTTTTTTGTAAGTATCAAAAACTAAATGTTAAGGAAGCACATGATATGAGAACAATAATTGTGGCTGTCAAATTTGGGTAATTGTGAAGAAGAGCTCCCCAAAAAACCTGTCGGCCGACAGTCGGCCGACAGACGACCAACTGTCGGCCGACAGGTTTTGCCTGAAATATAGGCTACCTGTCGGCCGCCAGTCGGCCGACAGTCGGCCGACTGTTGGTAATGTGTCGGTAACCTGTCGGTACCTTGTCGGTAGCTTGTCCGTGAAACGATCACACAATGTTAGGGATTCTAAGTTTGCCGTTACAAAAGCATATGGGTTTAAATTATTAATTTTTTAATTTGCGTTTGTCGCAGAGTGGCAAAACGAGGTATCGTGGTCGTTTTAGATCAAGAGTTTTTGGTCTGGTTTACCAGAAACGTTGAGTGATCCGATATTTCACTCGTAGAATCGTGCCTCGCTTGATACAACATCCAACATGTTTAATACGTTGACAATTGACTTTCAAGATTTGGTGGCTCCTAAAGGAGCCGTTTTGTGCGTGGTGAAATATACAAGATATTTCACTCGTAAAATCGTGCCGCGAACTTCATTGGCAACAGCTGCCCCTCTCTCCTCATGTTGCTCATGACCGGGATGTAGCGCCGAAGTCTTTTGCGACAGGCAACCTCCAGATCTCGCACGGATTGAACTTCTTGGTCGCGGAGGACGAGGTCCAGTTCCCTCGAGGCGACCTTTTTCAATTCTGCTATCGCCACGAAGTCTCGTAGTGTGCTCCGAGGACAGCCTGCAAGACGGAAGGCACAGGCCATGCTGCATTTGTTTTCTTTCATTGTCTGGAGAACCTGGTCATATCGTTCGTGTATGTTGGCCAGGCCGTGGGTGCTGACCCGTATGTCTGCCGTCTGCTGGTGTTGCTGTTGTGATGCGGGTGGGTCTTCTTGTGGCGCGGGTTGGTCTCTGCGTCGTACCTCCGCTCGGAGTTCTGNTAAAACAGCTACTTAATGGGTTTTCTTTAAACTTGTATGCTTAGAAGTTATTTCTGAGTGAAGTACCCATGTGTGGGCTAAGTTATCCTTTTTTGAATGTCTTGCATGTGCCTGGAAAACGAGAACCTAAGCAGTCTATCTTCTTCATTTTATTTCAACTTTGCATCATACACGAGAGAATATTTTCTGTACATAAAGCAAACGAATGAGAGTCATACCTTCTATCTTTGAAGCCGCGCAATCCTGGAAAAGTCATGATTGCTTCCCGAGTCAGCTT